AAGATATGAGTCTTTGCATAAAACAGTTATCACATTAGAAGTACCCTTTTTTTTTGTTTCTAGAATAATAAAGACAATTTTTTTTATATAAAAAAAATCGAATATTGTGCTTAATCCTAAACAAAATAAATTATTTAAAAAATTAAATTTAAGTAGTTCAGTAAAGACTAAAAAATACATTTAAAAAAATATTAATAATTTTTTTCAAATAATGGCAATTTGTGTAAAAAATTTCAATACAGAACAGCAAAATAATAACGCAAAATTTATATTTTGAACCTAAAAGATAAGATTAAATGACATTAAATAGGTTAAGAAAAATAAATTTTAAATGGAGTTGGATCAGCAGTTTTCTTACATTAGTAAGTTTTTATTTTTAAATCAAAAACATATAAATTTTAACTTAAACAAATTAATTGTACAATAATTAGGCTCTTGCTATTAAATTTTTCTTTATATCTTCGTTTGATAAATTTATTTAAACAGCGCAACATGCTGCTTATATGCTTTTTTATTGTTGAAAGAAAAGTTCATTTCATAGATTATATACTAAGTAGACTATATATCATTTGCAAGAGTAACAAAAGACTTAGCTTTGTGTACCATTGCGAACGAGCATCGATTATTTTCGTATATTTACAAAATTTTCAAATGAATTGAATTGTTTAATCTATTTTTAAATTCTAGAACTTTTTTATTTATTTTATTTTTCAGCGAATAAATTTAAACTGCACTCCTAACAAATTCATACTTTATTTTTTTTACAAATTTTTATTTTTTATGATATTTTTAGTTGGCCTTTCTAATGGTGACCGAAAGCCAGAGTGATTTACTTAAGTTTGTGTCGTCATAGGAAAATCGAAAAATAATTTATTTCTTATATTAAAGAACGGTTTAAATATTTTTCTTATTGATTGGAATATTGGTTGGAATATTATTTTTTATTGAATTATTGGTAGCCTAAAGTAACTTGAGAATTATGGATTTTGGAGCTACTAAATAAAATGCATATTTGTTTAATTATATACTTATAAAAAGATGAAATATTTAATATTGAATATAAATTTATTATTAAAAGACTTTTGATAGTATTATAAAAAATAGGTATCAAAAGTTGTTGTCGATAGTTAATTATTATTAACGATAGACATACGTAAGCCATAAGTAAGTCATCAAATTAAAAATGACTATTACAAGCATTTATTAAAGAAGTAGTAGTTTTATTTGATATATACCAATTAGTATGACAACTATTCAATTATGGTCGTTTTAAAAACAAATTCCAAAAATAAAAATAATAATAATAATAATTCGAATATCTAAAGAATGTTTTGTTTTTTAAGAATATTAAAAAATTATTTACATTTTATAAAGAAAAGAGTAAAAAACTCAGTGAATTTTTCATATACTTTTCTCAAGATAAATATTTTGATTATTTTTAGAAGAATGAGGTGCCAATAAAATATGAATCAGTATCTGTGTTGAATATATCATATATAATGGAAATATATTGATGTTTTTCAAATATGCGAAAGTCATATATATAATACATTTTATGCATATCGTATAGCACTGCGATACTATCGTTCTAGATGATATCTCCATGTATTTTTCTAGAAAGAAAATCACTATTTTAAAGTCAGTATTTATATTTTCACAACACAAAACAAAACCCTTGTATTATTAATATTAACTTCTAAGGTATTAATAAACGAAATTATTTTAAAGAAATCCTAAGCCAAATTAATTTACTATTGGTTAATATATCTTTTCTTAAACTATAGAAGTTATTTATGACTTCTATAGTATGTATTAAGCTTATGTATTAAGCTAAGAATTAGCTCTTAGAAATATAAATGATTTAACTCAAAAAAAAAAAAAAACTTTAAGTAACATCATATAAATCACAAACTCTCGATCATAACAAGAGGAATAAATTATGATTTAAATAATATAAGAGTTTCTTTAAACGCCTTACGAATGTATATGGATGTGAAGGGTATAAAAACATTATTTTTTCTTCATCACAAGATAATGTTAAGCAGCCAATTTTATAATTTATTTTTAATAAATCTAAACTATATTATGAGAAGAAAGAAGAGAAAAATCTTAAGAGATGAAGTTTACGAAATGTTGTTATATTTGGAACAGTTTTCTTTTTTTTCCAAAACTTGTACATTAATATATAAGTTACTGCAATCATGAACTTTTTTTAAAATTTATATACTGCCTTTAACTCATTTTCTACTTATCGAATTAAATGAGATAAAAAATAAAAAAATAAAAAAAAAATCGATTATAAGCTTAAACTAAATTAATTCTTAAAAATATTGCCAAATAGATTTAGGTATATTTTGCAAACATTTTCTTAGTCAGTGGAATGAATTTCGGAGAGATAAACTATTTTTCATTTTTTCAGCACAAAAAGTCTGTTTGATTGCAGTGCTGGTTTTCAAAAGGAACCCCTGATTTTTGTATTTTATATATCTATTAACATTTAATTTCTGAAATCACCAATATTTACTTCCATTGCATTTTTTAGGAAATTTAATTAATGTTATTACATTGAGAGCCTTAGCATTATTTATGAAATTAACATGTTACTAGAAAAATAAATCGAAACAAAAATATAATATATAAAAACAAAAACAAAGATAAAATTCAAATGATTTTATTTGTTTGTAATACTTTATTACAGAGAATTGAAATAAATGAAAAATATAATTAGGAAAAGAAAATAAGAAAAGAAGCTTTTTTGTCAGAAAAGATATTATTTGTTTGTAAGATAGTACTGACAACTGCAATAAATTTAAAATAAAATTAAAAATAAGGAAATGAAAATAGAAACTTTTTTACGAAATCTGTGAATAAAATGTTATCTAAAAATCAGGATCACCTGTGATGCTCAACATCACTTGCTTGTATTACAAAGCAACACCTCTTCAACCATTTGAAATCACTAGTGTAAGTTATTAAACAATTAAATAAAAAAAAAATTGTGTATATATTCTTTATTGCCAAACTTGCGCTGATTTGGGTCTAATTTCACGTCAAAATGATTTAAAAAAATTTTGAAAATGAAAACATATGCATTAATTGACAGCTTTTACATATTGTATTTAAGACTATATAGATCATATGTGCTTTTCATATGTATTGCGAAAATATTTGCAAAAAAAATGAGCTTTTTTTAAATTTGGCAACGTATAGAATTTTTCGAATTTACTGCCATTCAAAAAACATATAAAAAATTTGATATAAATTGAAATTTTCAAATCTTTGAGTTTTATACAAATTAAAAAATTTTAAACATTTCTGAGGACATAAATGGCTAAAAAAACTATACGTGTTGAAGGATATAATCTATTTTATTTTTTATTTATCTTTATATAATATTTTCTATTGACTAGTATTATGATTCACTCCACTTAATGTGAATTGTAAAATACTGATTTTGCATTTTATTCTATGCATATTTATGTTATATATTTGTGCATTTTATTCTATGCATATTTATTTTATATACATACAGAAAATATATTCAATCTTTTAAATCTTATATTATACAGAAATCCATCCTTGGTAGTGTCAAAGCACTATAATAAATCAACGGGAATACGACAATTTTAGAGATTACAATAAGAACTAAAAAAAAATGAAAAAAAATAAATACTGTATTAAGGATTCGTAAGATCCATCCGTAAATTACATGTAATAAATATGTTAAGTTCTGTTTAAAACGTATGATATATTGCTAAAAATAAACATAACGGTACTACATATGGTAAATAAAGCAAAAGCCTAAATGTTTCACAATCAATTCGATAATATTATCACAAATAGATATATATAGATATAGATATAGATATAGATATATATAGATATATCACAAATGAAGATATACTCGTAAAACAGTATTAAGGTCTAATTGATTACATGCAGACCACGTTATCATTACGAATTGTCAAGTTTCAAGAATAGTCAATTGAGTGACGTTAATCTCTATATCTATCTTTACAGGGTTTCTACAAGTTTTGATTGCACTTCTTTATGACGCTATATTGACAGTCGTTGTTTCCAAGGGTATCCTCGCATGTAACGATAAATCAAATATAATGCCTTTTTTCGGGATGCCTAAGCAGTATTATTTACCTCTCCTTTTTAATGTTATCATAAACGTTGTTATGTTGGAAACAATTGAAGAAACATAACGTTTACACACAGAATCAAGAGATGGCATCGGTCTGGTCTGACACTCCGTAGTTATGTTTGATATCAGATTCACAAATTTAAAGAAACTTAAAACATAAATAAAGCTTATGGGACTGGTCATCAGCATCATTAGAACAAGATCAAGGCTTTAAAGTTTATTTTAATCAAATATTGAACTAGAATGCTATTTAATGCACAGGAGACTTTAAAAAAGATTAACAAACCTTTGCAAGTTCCAACAAAAGTTGAAGATCTTAAACACAGTTTTTGCCGTATCTACAACTTATTTGATCAAACATAATAACTAACGTCAAATTAAAAATGGTGATGTAATTAGAATTAGAAATAGAAATGAGATGTAAGGGGTCAAGAACCGAAACTAAATTTCTATACAACATTATGTTTTAAATGGAATTCTGAATTTAAATTTCAAAATGATTTACATATGCAATTTGATTATGTCATCATAGGAATTGCTTGTTTGATATTACCATAAATATTTTTACCACATTACCATATAATTCAACTTAAAGAAACCTTCTTAGAATTATGTATATTTTTTTGTTGCTATTGTTGTTTTTGATTTATAGTAACATGTACAATAAGAAGTATAATTTGTAAATAATATTTTGCATGTATATATATTAAATATATATTCATATTTAATATTTTTTTAATGAAATAATAATTGCATTTGTTATATGTACCTTGTCTCTATATAATCTCTAATAGAAATCACAATCTTCATGAATCAAAAATTAACACTAATATTGTTAGATTTCACTAACCTTTGACTCCAATTTCTGATTTTCAGTCTTAAGTTCATTGCGATCATTTTCAATTTTTTCCAATTTGGTTTTCAATGTGATCAACTCTTCGTTAGCTAATTTCAATTGCTCCTCTGTGCGGTGTACGTTAAGTAAAGGAGTTACTCGTACCAAAAGGCGCCACCATGGCCAATCCCTTACGGCCATAAAAGCTTTGACATTACGCTGTATGCATCGCACTGCCAATTCCTATTTGAGAGTAATGTAACAAAAACAAAAACAAAAACAAAAATTAAAAAAATATTTATGTTGCAGAAACAAATATTGCAATAGTAATAAATTGGAAATTAAACAAGTTATAAATTTTGTGTAAAAATGACAAGATACAAAAAAGGAAAACATATATAGACATTTATATAAGATACTAGAAAACACTTGTTGTTGTTTTGTAATTGTTGTAGTAGAAGCGGTTAGTGCGGTTATTGCAGCATTTGCTGCAAGCTTTACGAAAATGATCAAACAAACGATAATGACGCATATAAAAAGTTGTGGAAAAAATTACGTGGTGTGAATTTCTTTGTCGCGTCACTTTTAAATTATTTAAGAATTTTAAAAAAGTGAAAACGTAAACACTTGAAGATTAAATAACAACAACAACGATGCTTATTTATTGCCAATAAAGTGCACACCCACCTGTACACGACGACGAGATAGTTGCTTGCGAGCCAAATAGCCGCGGCAATATGCCTGCAATTGTATGATGCGATCTGATAGCAGCTCATCACGTTTTGCTTCCAGCTCATTTAAGACTCCCGAACGGAATAAAATCTGCAATTAAATTAAAAAAATAATAGAAAAGGTTAATAATGATGATTACATAGAAAGAGTGCATGAGTGCATAAAACTTATTAAGATAAAAATCTTATTGCTAAATTAATTTACACATAAAAAGGGAGCAGTCAAAATCTTTCTATTTATTTCAATCGTAAATAAAGTTGAGGATTGCTGCTGAGTAGTGTTGATGTACTAATTACAACATACGCTTTCTCAAAATATTTTATTTAATGTGACCATTTTTGAAAACTTATATGTTACGGAACTACACTTATTATAGAAGGTATAAATTCCTACATTTAAAAAAACACATTTCTTATTTTAATATTTTTTAATTCATTTTAACTTAGCGTAGATACAGATATAGTTAGAGAAAACATTTTAACTTTAATGTCCATATTCACATTTGTTTTATTTGTTTACTAAAATATTTATTAGTTTGTGATAAAATGATTTTTAAAAATGGGTTTTTGTAGAGTAATTGGCCAAATTTTTTATTCTTGTTAAAATAAAAATTTAAAAAAAACCACGATTTATTTTACAACGATTATTATTTCTTCGATATTTTGAGTTTAGTCTAAAGTCATCATGAGCTTTAAAAAGACTTTACTAAACTATTTTCTATATCTTAGAAATAGAAAAGGATTTCAACAATTTAAAAAGAATTCTATTATTATTATCCCGGCTAAGCCTAAGGAATAACTAAAATTGATGCGTTACATAGATCTGTTAATGGTTCCGATATAATTGAGTGTAGTAATCACATTCTCAACTAATTAGGTAATTTTGAACTAATCGCTAAAGTATCTGTTCTCAATAGCAAATCTTATAGGTAAGATGTATTATGTTGAATTTTGACTGTGCTCAGCTATGTGTGTCAGGGAGCCGAACACAATAACACAACAAATGTGAAATGGTTTGGCAACCTCTTCTATTTAGTAACCTTTTATTCAACCTTTTATAGAAGTTTCTACTCAAGAGAGTTATTGTATTATAAATAGTCAATTTATTAGTACTATATAATAAATATCACAAAACTAATAGCGGGCTGATCGGAAAATAGTTTTTTGTCTACTTTACATTTGTAGAGGCGTAATATGAAGGTATTAACTGAAATAAAGTTTTGAAGATGAAGTTTCGTGCATAATCGGTTCACTAATTACCAGGTGTACCGGTATGAAGTGAGCGAAAAGATACAAATGTTCCGACAGGGAACATTTGTTGTGAACGAGCCTTTATTTTTTTTTTGTTTGTTTGCTATGACATGTGTGAAATATATTTAGTATACATCAAGTCATTGAACAGACAACATCATATTTTTTCACCGTATCGAATTTTGTACCAGAAAGTGATGATTTGCGGAAAGCATTAATTTTTTGTTTTCATTTGAAGAAAAGTGGTGCAGAGTCGCATCGAATGGTTGTCGAGGCATATGGTGATCATGCTCTATCAGAAGCAACATGCAAAAGATGGTTTCAGAAATAATGATTTTGATGTGAGAAATGAAGAACGTGGAAGACCGCCAAAAAAGTTTGAAGACGCCGAATTGCAAACGATATTGGATGGAGATGACACTTTGGGTCAAAAGCAAATGGCAGAAATGTTAAATGTTGCACAACAAATAATTTCTGACCGTTTAAAAGCTATGGGAAAGATCCAAAAGTGTGGAAAATGGGTGCCACATGAAATTGAATGAAAGACAGATGGAAAACCGAAAAAACACTTGTGAAATTTTGCTTCAAAGACACGAAAGAAAATCGGTTTTGCATCGGATTGTTACTGGCGATGAAAAATGGATTTATTTTAAGAATCCTAAACGGAAAAAATCATGGGATTAATCCGGGACAACCATCAACATCGACTGCAAAACCAGATCGATTCGGCAAGAAGACAATGCTGTGTGTTTGGTGGGACCAGAAAGGTGTGGTGTACCACGAGCTCCTAAAAACCTGGTGAAAACCGTCAATGCTGGTCGCTATGAACAACAAATGATAAATTTTGAACCATGCATTGATCGAGAAACGACTCAGAATGGGCCAGAAGACACGGCAAGGTAATTCTGCTCCATGACAATGCACCTGCACACAAAGCAAAACGGATTCAAGGATGCAATCAAAACACTTGGCTGGGAGCTGCTACCCCACCCGCCTATATTCACCAGACTTGAGCTCCTTCCGACTACCATTCTGTTTTCATCGATGGGACACGCATTGGCTGAGCAGCACTTTGATTCCTACGAGGAGATCGAAAATTGGGTGTCTGGTTGGTTTGCTTTAAAAGACGAACAATTTTTTTGGCGTGGTATCCACAAATTGCCAGAAAAGTGGTCAAAATGTGTAGAAAGCAATGGCCAATACTTTGAATAAAATATTTTTTACTTTCCTATTAATAATTAGTGTTTTATTTTCACCAAAAAAACGCTCATTTCATACCGGTACACCTAATAAATGCGCTAAAGACGGGCGTAAATAATCGAGTTTAGAAGGTGAACACAGTTTTTTGGTGTAGTATCAATAAAAAAAACTTAAAATAACGTATTTTTCGCTTGAACCGAACTCATAGCTATCGAATAAAATGCTTTGTTTTATACCAAGTTCCTTTTAAGTGAAAATCTAAAAAATTATTTATTCTATTTAAGTGCACACATTTTGATTTGCTTTGTTTTAGCCAATAGTTCACATTAAGCGGGCTGTATTTGTAATGTAATTATGATTAAATTAGAGAAAGTTACTCACACTTATACACAAATTTCAAGAGTCCAAGATATAGTAAGTACTTATGATTGAAAATAGAGTTTAAAATAACACTGGAGAACTAAAATATATTAAAACCTTAACTACTTTGTTTTTGTAAAATTTTAAGTTAGATGCTCATACTGACTTTTTAATGTATTATTTTTAGTTCTTACGTAGGAAAATAATATTATTTAGCAATAAAATTGGGAAAGCTTTTGTAAATTACTCGTTAGACAATAACTAAAGATCTGCCAATGCGCAGTTAATCTTTAATATAAAATTAAAATTGAAACTTTTCATTTTGTTTCCATTATTTTAGGATACTCGTGTAACTGTTTCTGTGGTTTTAAAAATGTTCATATTATGATTTCATAGTCGTGAAAAGGCCCTTACGATACCTTTTACACTCATTTTTAAAACATTTTTGTTTTATCAAACGGAACTGAACTAATTTTAGTTATATGGCTATTAACTAGAAAAACCTCTTTTATATTGGAATAAGTCATCTTGTTTATTTCAGTAATTTTAAATGAAATTTAAAATGGTTTACAAAATCCATTGATTTCTTTTACAAACGTAAAAATTATTAAGTAGCTGCAATTATAATACAATCATTTAAATGTAATGTTTAGACTTAAATAATTTAAAGCCATATGGTTTTTTTAATTATCATTTTCCTTATTATTATTATTAACAATTATTAAACAAAAATTAAAGTAAAAATTAAACAAAAAGCGTAAACAATCTTTAATGGCGGTCATAAACTTTTAGTGAAGTCAGAGCTTAAATGGCACGATTAAAGTTTAAATGATATTAATAAAATGTATAAAATATCAAGTTAATAAGTAAATGGCCGTTAAAGTAAAAGAAAAAATATACTCAGCAGAAGAGTAATTTGCGCGCAATCGTAATGTAAAAACACATTTGCAGCTTCAGTTATTATTCACGGGAAAATTACACTTAAGAAAAGAAGTATTAATATTTAAATGTTATTTTATAAAAATGACAAAACAACAAATACCTGTAAAAACAACATTATCCAAGGCATGGAAAAACACATGTGAAAGCAAACAAATGGCTTAGCATATCACCGATATCCCCGCAATCATTAAAATAAAATCACATCAATACGAGAACGGGCTAGAGAGCGGGCTAGGCTGGCGGTGTCAACCGCAGTCAGCGTGCACATAACTCCGAAAGCCAGCCAATAAAATTTAAAGAAAGGAAAAATGTTGTGCAACTTAAGATGCCTTTTTAGTCATAAAACCACAGGCTATAAATAAGGATGCGCCGCTTTGTAATTTGCGCTAGCATAGCGAAAAAACCTAAGTAAGATACTAAAGCTATTGCAATTGTAATCAAAATCAAGCACTTAAAATATTGTTCACTGCAGATTTAATGTCTATGCAGCACATAAATGGTTTGAGGGGCAGAATGGTTACAGAAAAATCTTAGAAGATAAGAACAAGTTAACTACGGTAAGGGTTGATGACTTTTGTTAATGTACAACAATTACAAGTAGATTCGATGAATCCATATAGCATAATAACATAATAGATGCATTCCAGCTGTTAAGAGCGAAACTTATTAGTATGAAGGCAAACTAAACATATGCGAAATAAAATAAAAAAGACATAAATATGGAGATAACAACATGTATAAACGAAAACATTTTTATTTAAAAAAAAAAAAAATTATTATCTATATATATTTTTATTGAAACTCATTATAGAAATTATTCGAAATAGAAATGATAAATTTAAAATTAATCATTTTTGAAAGTTTTTTTTTTGGATTGAGAATTAAGTAGAAAAATACCTATGTTACTGACATATTGTTTTTATAAATTTAAAAGATACTGCTAAGCATTAAGAAAGGAACTTTAGTTGTTTAGCTATAATTTAAAGATAAAAACATATCCCTACAGGTATAAAAAAACCAAAAAAATTTCTCATAATCCTTTACTTAACTAATTAAGCCAAAATAAATTAAACTAATTAAGACTAAGTGAGCTTAATTTCTTGTTGACATATTCTACATACAAATAGGTATGTTATAACTTAATAATTAGGTTACAAAATTTCTATTTTTAATAACTTATTTACAATTAGTAAATAAATTCAATGTGTAGAAAAATTAAAAAAATATTGATAAAGATATAGAATATCATAAATATTTCCATGAAGATTTAAATAGAAAAGTGAGAGAAATATCAACACCTCTCTCTCTCCCTCTCTACTATATAAGCTAGACTGTTAA